TAGTTTCCATTTACCTTTTCAGGATTCTGTATCACATCCGCGAGAGGAATTCCAACGTGTTTACTGGTTCATCACAAACATAAGAAATAGTGCTAGATCTCAAGGCCGGAAAACCACAAAATCAGCCAGAATCAACAAAGTGCTCACTTGGCGTGTCTGTTGACATGCGACAATGTGAAAGGTTTAGCCAAGATTCCGTTAGGCGTGGTTAGCTGTCTATATCTACAAGCTACGATCAGCGAGAACCTAACCACATCGTTATCAATATAGAATACTGGTTATACTGATAATGACTGTCTTTCTAGACTCAATAAAGTTTATATAAAGGCCGATTGAAATAATGCCAGTATCTTCGGACAATCGTCTCAATCTGATTTTAGGGTTGAACTGACCACAGATTAGCAAATCCCTCGGAAACCACGCAGAGAGCAGAATTGGGAGGAGCCATCATTTTAGCCAAAACTGTACACTTTGAGTMAATTGACAATATTTTTAGTGTATATAAATATTCTTGAGTGTAGTTAAACAAACACAGAGATTGTTTTTCGAAACAACTGACCAGGGGTCGATTTTAGGAAGTGCCCATGAATCGCACTTGTCCATGACAGAAGATAAATCCACTAGCGAAATCTATCCAGTGGACTTTGTCCGATAAATAACCTGGCCCATAGCCATGGATTTCGGGTGTCAAAAGAAACGCCTTTTTGAGACATTTTATTAAGAATACTTTTGGAACACAACGAACTTCTCCCGTCCTCCTCCCCCACCCCACTTTATCCACCCTACGTACAAACAGTTCCCCCACCTTCCCCCAGGTGCTTCATTTTTACTACATTTTTCTTTTGAATACATGCAAAAGAAAATACAATGATATTTAGGAGGAGCCGACGGGTTCCTGGGAGAAGTTTATCTGTTCTTATRTCCCAGCCAGCTGTAAGTCACAACTGGTTGCCAGCGAGAAATTCAGGAAAAAAAGACCTTTAAAGTCAAGGGAATAATTCTAAGAATTTTTGCCAGGAAAATAACAATTTCCTAACTAAAAACTATGAGCCGTTTTTGACCACAATGTAACGTTCACTTATATAAGCCTTTTTTGACCTGAACGTTTTCCAGGAACAAAATCATTTTAAAGAAGGAAGGATGTCACTTGCTTGTGAGATTGTCAACAATGTAACTCAAAATCCCTTTCACACAGGAAAACATTGTCCTATTAAGAACAGTTATTTAAAAGAACAGACCCCGTCGGCTCCTCCTGATGATTTACTTGTTTTTTATAGAGTCGTTTCCGCAGTAAACCAGCAGGAATGCCCAAACCAACGATACTACTCCAGTCTTTTTTTTAATTTTCTTCTCATCATGATCTCAGTTGCTTCATTTTGACTTCGGCACTTGTGACATTCGCCGTCTAAAGAGGTCTAAAGAGTAAATTTTTAGACAAGGATTAAAGTCTCGCCATGCAGGATATCGTCATTGGATTGTAATCATGTCAGTGCAGTGATCTCAATTCAAAAGCTCACACCACCCACATGCACGCCATATCAAGTTTATTACCATCCTCGGAAGCCCAGAGACTCCCCCAGTCCCCACTCAACAGCACCTGTCATTCTAGGATGACGATTTTACACATCATCGAACATCTTGTAGTCACTTTCATATTCGTATTATTATCCTGCAAATTGCAAATTACCAACAAATCTCTAAATATCTATTAACTATGCTCTAAAGGTCTGTTTTTGACGGGCTTCCTCTAGCCACAGGAAGCCCGCGTTGGAGGGCCCAGGAAGCCAAACCACACACGGTCCATACGGCTTGGAATAAGTGTGTAGGTTATTACTCCACTACAATACAATAGAACAGCAGGGGATCATTAATCGTCAGATGAGCTTGTGTTATTTGTTTGTCTGGTTAAGAGTTTAGTAGAGAAATTAGGTTAATTTTTTGTTTCGCGGTTTCCTCTGGCACTGTATTTGCTTGGTAAGATAGTATTTCTTTAGTTTATTGTTTTAATAATCTTTTTGTTTGTTTACTTTCTTACTTCAAAACCATCTTCACCATGCAGAGTTCAATAAAATATGTTCCCCGTAGTGTCATTTCCGCTTCGTGAAGGTATCGTTTTACAGCGTTTCCACAGAAACCAACCAACATAAACGGGCGTCATTAACGTTTTCACGTCGACCCAACTTATACCAGTCCAAATCCTTTGTTTTCGAGTATAAAAGCTGTCAAATATGTCATCTTCAGATGAAGAAAGTACTGAAGGAGACGGTCTGCCATATCTTGGAGAATATGAAGGCGAACGAAACGAGAGCGAGGAGAGACATGGACGTGGCAGAGCGAGACTACCAAATCAAGATACTTACGAAGGAAGCTACGAGTTTGGCAAGCGAAATGGCAAAGGAATTTATAGGTAATTGAATTTCATTATTAGACTGCTTCACRCAAGGACATTCATTGACTATAACATTAATTTTGAATCACAACGGGTGGGATGGGAAAGTAAACATATTTCGTTGAGAGCGTGACAAGGATAAAATCTGTGAAATCCCTCTTTTAATGGTGGGATTTTGGGGGTTTCGACAATAGTTACGTGACATCAAAGAGATGAAATTATAGTTAACACAGGAAGCCCAGGCTCTACATTCAACGTGATTATCAACGTCTCCATAAACCACAGGGAGCACAGGCTCTTTATCAGTGGTAATTAAATTCGTCTTTGCTTGGTGGGGAGAAAGGCACTTAAACTCAAGGAAATCGGCTGAAACTTCGTCAGAGGATTGCACAATACATCAATAACAACATGTTTAAGTTTTGTTTCGATTTATTAAAATTCAAGCGAGAAATTCTCGATTCAATAACACCATATAAACTCTTCAAAATAACGGTAAATATAGAGGGGAGGGGAGGGGAGGGGTGGTGTACATAAGAACCACTGATAAAGAGTCTGTGCTCCCTGTGCATAAACAATGGGTTTGGCCGGCAGAGCGAGCATATGTGCAGCTTGAAGATGTTCATTCAGCCAAAAATATCAATACGAAAGCGACGTACAAAAAATCACAAAAGGTTGTTTGTCTTTGCTCCACTGAACAAGCGTCCTATCAGTCCAGAATATATAGCTTCTCTTCTAAATATATAAAGTTATCATACTCTCCTTCATAAATCCGCGATCAAAGTCTCGGTATTAACCCCCCCTCCCCCTCCTCCCCCGACCATTTTTGGGAAAAATTAAATTCTCGTACATGAAAAATAACTAGTACGTTTGGTTGGTTGGCCCGGGCCGGGTTGGTTGGCTGGCTCATAATAAAGCAAACGAGCAAGAAACGAGCATCTATTTTCCATCTATTTTTCTTTTTAATTCGGAGAGTAACAGGACCATTATATAAGTTAAGTAATTTGAAGAGTACAATGGTATGGAATTTTATTCCCGAGTTTGGTGGACTCATACATGCAGCGAGCAAGAAACGAGCCTCTATTTTGCAACATTTAAAAGGTTTTTATTGGTATGGTATATGTACTCACAATTATTTACGAAAACATCATTCTTGCTAAAAAAAGAAAAAGAATTCATATTACATAATAATAGTAGACACGAACTAGATTTCTTTTTCAAGAAACTCTCTCAGCTTTTTGCCGCAATTCCAAGTCGATCTGCACCTTTTCTTGATTCTGAGATTAATAGGGCCACTGTCATCATTAACTTCGGCCAAACGGCGCTCCTCGGTGGCTTCATCTTCGAGGAACTTTGTCAGCCTTTTACCGCAGTTCCAGGTGGATCTACATCTCTTTTTAATTCGGAGAGTAACAGGGCCATTATCGTCATCAACCTCAGCCAATGCAGCGTCGTCTTCGAGGACACGGGTTAGTTTCTTTCCACAGTTCCACGTCGATCTGCAGCGTTTTTTGATTCTCATTATTAGAGGAGCATCCTCGTCTTCTGGCGATTCGCGCTCTTCGTTCGCCTTGTCAACAAGATATTGCGTCAATCTTTTCCCACAGTTCCACGTTGATCTGCATTCTCTTTTTATTCTCATTACGATGGGATTATCATGGTTAAAATGTTGTGCAGCGATMTCGGCAATTAGAGCAGCAAAAACGAAGACTGTTGCAACGGCAAATTTCATGGTCAATCTATGAAAAAGACCCACAAAATAAGTAAATTAGAACTTTTTTCAAGTCTTTAGAGCGGAGTGAGTCATATGGCTCAGGTTCGTTTACACTTGCGATTTTTGAAGCGCGATAATCGCCACTTTGCTATCGCGCAACTGTTGCTACGCTGAAAAATCGCCGCGAAGTTGCAGCCAATTTTCAAGCATGTTCGAAACTCARGCGATGTTCGCGCGACGCAAAAGGGCGCTCTGCAAAAATCGCAAGTGTAAACGGGCTTTTAAAGCAATCAATTCAGAGCCCTCGTAAATTAAAGCTGTACTGGAATTTGACATGGTTGCGCTATTGCTAACAAGGGAATAATGTTTACACTTTAAATTACCTTTTCAGTAATTCAACTTCTTCGATTCCAATCAASAACTTGTACACAACTCARTGCTAGGTCGTGACYGAAGAGCTTGACGTTCTTTTGTCTAGCCTTTTATACCCAGCCGTTTTGTGTCGGATACACATGATTTGATTTCCATAGAACACTGCGCGAGCGCCAAAAATGAGCGGGAAAAAAATTAGTCTAATTATATTCACGGAAAAGAAAAGCTTAATTAACACTGAAGAGCTTGATCGTCTCTTCTATTTCAAAGTATTTCATTTTAATTTGCTTATAAAATTGATGTCATGCAAACTGTTCCTGCTAGTTCAGCTCGCTTGCAATCAATTAAGTTCGGTGCCAGCGTAAGTCGAGCTTGGATAATTATGTTGGGTTTCACAGGATTATTAATTACTGGAAAGTTGAGACCCAAAACTATAAGAGCGTGAAACGTTTTTCCAGTCATCAACACAAATATAGAAAACATGATATTGAATTAAAATGATCGCAAATATACAATCTWYATCCACTTGTATTGCAGTTGAAATGTTTGATAACAAACGTCGTTGCTATTTTCTGTCCGGCCATCAGTTGCATGCTTCAATGCAAGTCCACAGTAGCACAATATTAAACCATAGTTCCTTGCTAACCTCAGTGTCAGAAGACGGCTGTTGTGTTGTTTTTTTTTTCGACTGGAATTACTTTTTTCCCGCTCTTATTTTTGGCGCTTAATGTATAATTGAAAGTTCAATGCGCCAAAACTAAGGCGGGGAAAAGTAATTCCAGTCATAAACCGATATCGGAGAAACTCAGTTAACATCTTTACTGTACATATGCCACAACTGAAGAGAAATACAATTGTACTCTTTTGTTTATAAATATAAACATTTTCGAACTTACAAATGGCCAAACGCATATAGCTGTGTATATATATACTATACGCTGTCATAGGAAAATAGGCTAAAACGTTTGTATTTTGTTTTGACGGAAAGCATTAATAAAGACAAAAGAAAGCTTTCAGCGTGACTGACCTATGTCTTTTGAATAAATTATGTTTTACCAAAAATGTAAATGTACAAAAAAAAATGTACAAATGTTCTATGTATGAAAAAACAATATTTTGACAATTGGGTCGTCGCATTCTGAAATATTTCGCTACAAACATAAGAGAGACCTACTACTATTTTCCAATCATATCAGTTGAACGAAGTTACAGGAGAGGTTTGTTTTTATGTTTTGGTTAAGCCAGGCTTTTGTGTATGGCCTTTTTTGTACTTATTTTGGGACGGTTTTAGAAGCTTTCGAGGAAGTATTATTCCTAAAACAATTTTCTTTTTCGTACACACTCTTAGAACTTCTGATCTATATGGATTTGTTTGGTTACATGGGCTTCCGCTTATGGGCTTATATTTGTTTGAAAAAAATATATATTATTTTAGAATACATTTATTATTGACAATACAGAATGGTAATTTTTGGCGGAATAGGCATTTTGCATGAAACGGTCACGTACCAAATCCAATGGCAATGCTAGATTCATGGCGAAATACCCATTGGGACGTTGAAAACAAAGAAAAGTCAATCTTGACGGGCTGCGTTCCTTTTGTTGTTGTTTTTTTTTTTTGGGGGGGGGGGGGGGGGTTGTTTATACATTCTTTTGCCATCCAGTATGGCGGGTTCAGCACCATGTGACCGTTTCATGCAAAAGGCCAATATGCAAGCTTTTTAAGGCTAAACCATAGTTAATTAACTATGGCTAAACCTAGCCAGTACCATCCAACATATATATAGGAGAAACCAAGATTTTGCCATTCGGCACCCTGGTTTGTACCCTGTTACACTGGAAAAAATCGCGCGCTTTAAAGTTTGTATATTTGATGTAAATATGGTGTAAGTGTCCAAAATTCTGTAAATTTGATGTAACAAAATTTTGGACACTTACATCATATTTACATCAAATTTACAACCTTTATAGCGCGCGATTTTTTCCAGTGTTTAGCGGATCACTTTTGGATAGAGCATCAAAATCTCCCGAACAAAACAACTTTTCGAAAATATTTCTTTTGGAATTAGAAAGATTACCTTTCATGGGCAATCTGTTAACAAAAAAATTACCGCCTCGAAGCGTAACAGTAACAAACCCTATTCGTTGCCTGCGKMGCAAATTGTTGTTAATTTTGAGGCCGTAAGAAAAATAGTTCCTCAAAAATGTTTTACAAAAATCGTGGCATTAGATATGCGTTTAATTTAAATAAGCTGTTGTATTTTATAGGTTCAAAAATGGAGCTCGATATGTAGGTTTTTACCTCTCAGGAAAGAAAAATGGCGAAGGTGAATTTTACTACCCTGATGGCTCCAAGTACGAGGGAAGCTGGGTCAATGATCAGAAACACGGCTGGGGCATCTACACATATCCAAATAAGGACAAGTACGAGGGAGAATGGGTTAATGATAAAAGGCATGGTCAGGGAACTTATACGTATGCACAAACGGGCTCTACTTAYGAAGGGACCTGGCTCCACGGCAAAATGCAAGGTTCKGGRCAGCTCATTCATGAGAACCACAGGTTTGAAACAGAGGTTTTAATTCAAAACTAACAAGAAATATGCAATAGGCAAGCAGGCATGCATACATGCATTAAGCAAGCAAGCAGTCATCATATATGCAAGAAGCAAGCAGTCATATCACTCAATTGATCACTCCATGAATCAATCAATAACTCAATCACTCGATGAATCAATACCTCAATAACTTAATCAATCAATCAATAACTCAATTAATCAATCAATCAATCGATTAATCAATCAATCAATCATCCAATATAAATCAATCAAACGAATTACTCAATCCATCGATCAATTAATCAATCAATCGATCGATCAATTAATCAATCATCCAATATAAATCAATCAAACCCCAATCAGAGAGACGCCAACAACAAAACATTTTAGTAAAGGATAATAGAATAAAACATAAAAAAAACTATTTCTTCTTTGCATTCTCTAGGTACGTTGGAATATTCGAAGACGACAAACCCAAAGGCAAAGGAAAGTATATGTTTAGCATGGGCTGCGAAATGCGTGGTCATTACTCGTGGATTGATAAAGACATCGAAGACATGAATGAAGAAGACACGCCTGAGCAACTCGTGGATGTGATGTGGACTGGCAAAGAGCTGTGTGAAGTTCCTAACGAATAATCAWGTCATGGATAAATTTGAAAAGAATATGAATTGCAGCAAGAATATTTTTTTTAAATTGTGCACATGGAATCACTACTTTTGTATAAGAAAACAACAGGAATATTTGAAATATTTTTATTTGAAAAAAAAAGAGAAAAACTTGGGACAAAGGATTCTTCARGGAGGCAGAAGTTGGAAAAAACATTCAACCAACCAGTTGAGCTGTAATATCATACATATAAACACTTGTGATCCCTAAATCCATTTATTTCATTGTATAATATTCCCTTTTAWATCCCAACAAATATACAAAAATAAGATAAATTCACATAATATAAATACAATAAAAAAGAGTTAAAATATTATTTTTACCTCCATCCTCTTTATATAGGCACTTTGTTGTAATGGACAGATTTTAAA